AAAAAAAAAAAAAAAAAAAAAAAAAAAAAGAAGAAAGGAAAAAACGCCCGTGTGCCTGACTGAACTGCTAGAAAAAGCCAGCCCGAGTTTCAAACTGCTAAAACGCAGTTTCAAATGCAATTGAAACTTGGGCCCTGACTAAACTGCTAAAACGCAGTTTCAAATGCAATTACAAACTGTAACCCTGACTGCGCCGTAGTTTTCTTTTTAATTTTTTATGTCCTGGACTACGTAGCACAGTGTTCGCGTTCGGAGGCGAAGCGAACAAGCGCCCAAAAACCTCTGAACGCGAACATAAAAAATATTTAAAAAAATAAAAACAGTTCTCAGAAAAAATCTGAAAAAAATATATATGCTATGTAAAATGACAATACAAGCAACTTTTGCCTTGGAGTCATGTTCAAATTCGTAGCCAATCATGAGTTAAAAATCAAAAACCGAAAATTTTCCTTTTTTTTACGAAAGAAAATTATGTTCCCCCGAACATGTTCGCAAGCTGTTCGCGCGAACGTGAAGAGGCGCGAACACGTTCGCCGTGCTACGCAGGTCCTGGAATTAGTCTCCCGTAACCAGTTCCGTACCTGGTTGAACTTCTCGTTTAAATTCCTGGCTGCTAGTACATTTTAAGGGTTAAGAAAATCTCTTTGCTCTTGGGGGTGGCAGTCGGGTTGCTTATCACCGGCAATCATAGACAGACAAAGTCCCAAAAGAATCAGAGAGATAGACCAGACTTAGCAAGGAAGGGGGGTTTCGGGTCAGGCCGGTGGTACCTGGTCCGCAAGTGACAGTGGCTGTAGTCTGTAGGATTCCGAAATCATGCAGCAGCGAAACTTGGGGGGGGTGGGGAGGGTGTCGGGAGGCGCCGTAAGCGCACCCTGTCGCCTGCTCCATCCTCGCCAGACCATCTGCATGCTAGGTTACCCCACTTCCCCCTTCCCCCCCCTCCAGGAAAGCGCCCGCACAAACAGTTACTTTTCCTAATTTTCCCCCCGTTCTTTTTTTCACCCTTCTCCTCCCTCCCCTCCCCCTTTTGCACCCCGGGCCGTGGGTGTTGACCTTTGGTGGAGGCAGATAGTGGCAAGCGGCTTTGTTGTTTTTCTTTTATGATTAGCCTACTTTCACGGTGAAAGAGGCTGCTTTCCTCTCCGGACGCCGTCTCTTTCGCTGTGGAGGGAGTGGGGTGAAAGATGGGTGGGTAGTTCCTGCATTCTTTTGCAAAAAACTTCCGATTGACATGTTTGGAATTGTTCAAGAACGCCTCCCTGCTATTCGTACCTGAAGCCGGGTAATGGCCCCGCCGGTATCTTCTTCTTAAGGGACGATGGGCCCGTTTCCCAGCATGCATGCCGTTGCTCCCCACGAATAGAATCTGATTGGATCAAGTGCCTAATATCTGCTTATGCTAGCCGGATATTAGGCATGCATCACTGCATCAGGTTTACAAGGGCGAAAAGAAAATAAGAGCCGCCTTCAGCTATTGCGCAATCCCAAATGGATTCACAGTCTGCTTTGCAGACGGATCCAAGGCGAGACTGACCAGTTAACAGTGCTGCAACCCCCCAAAAGATGAATGCATACCAAGAGACTGCAGTCCCCTTGCACGGAGTAGGCCAGAGTAGGCCGGAGCCGCCGGACTTTCCAACAAGAAGTGCCGCTCCCCACCAATAGATGGAGCAGCCCGACAGGTAAGCCCTCAATTCTGACGGTTCTCTTACCACCGCCAGGATAGAGGGATATCG